TCATCCCCCTCACCCGCACCACCCCCGCTCGCCTATTTAAGGCCCAGCGACATGCTCTCCAGGAGGCCGCTCGCCGCCGCGCTACGCCTCGCGCCCCTCTCGCCTCCGCTCCTCCTCTTCTTCGCCTCCTCCTCCTCCTCGTCGTCGTCACCCGCCTCGTGCTCCTCCCCCGCCGCTTCGGCCTCGGGCCCCAGAGGTGCGCGCTTCTGACGAGCATTCGTTTGATTCGGGGCGTTTTTGGTGTGTGTGTCGGTTTCGCGGCGGCACGCTTAATTTTAGCGATGCCTGCGTTGGCCGTTCCTCTCTAATTTTGGCGCTCTTGAATTAAATACGAGAACGTTGGTTTTGATCCGAGGCCAGTCCTGCTAGGCTGTAGAGGGGCAACCCAATTCGGTTTCCGGTCCATGGGCGAATGCTGAAGCATAATCGCGTATGCTTTGCTCTGCTTTCGTGCCCGTCTTAACGAATTTCGTGGTTCGTATCTGTTTACGATGAGATTTTGAGATTCGTATGTATGGGCTGATCAGCCCTTTTTCTGAGCTGCTAACTTATATACTCTGGACTTCGTTTCAGTTTGTCTGAATTATGCAGTTTAAATCCTGTTTCCTGATCGTGTCGTTATGGTAGTCATGCCACGTTCATTGATCGGTCAATCACTAGACTTTCACAGTTTCACCGACCTTTGTTAATTCCTGGTTGAAACACGGAGTTCTATCACTGAATTACAGTGTGATATCTCTGACGTACTTTGTTCTATTCACCTCGTATCAGGCTGCAGTGCTCTAAGGATGGATACCGGCGCTGTGGAGCCAGCTTCAACGGGGGCAATCTGGTCAACACCGTCGGTGGAGCCGAGAAGCATTTCCATCGGGAAGCAGATATTCTGCAACAGGTCTCTCAACATGAGGAACATCACCGCAGTAGGATTTGATATGGACTACACTCTTGCGCAGTACAAGCCTGAGACATTTGAGGCCCTTGCTTACCATGGCACCATTGAGAAGCTCGTGAAGGATCTCAACTACCCTGAGGAGGTTGATGTCAATAGTTACTTCTCCCATTTTATGTGATTTCAGATTTGATATAGATACTTGGGGTCTGTTGTCGTGTCTAGGATTTCATGGTTGCCTCAAAGTAACTTAATAGTTGCATTTAACACAGTACCAACATCATGTCTTTACCTGCTTCGACTTTTGAGCAATATTCCCACCTGGGATAGTCCATGATTTGGACCATGAATTTTGTTCGGTAGTATAAATGCGTGAAATTTGTTGCTGCTCTGAACCAAAGAATTTTGTGCTAGTTACTGCTATTTATCTTAGGAAGGATCACCAATTTCTGCACTAATGTAGTAGCAAAAGGTTCATACTATCAAGTGAATATCTGTTTATTACAGAAGTGCGGAGTTCTTTGTGAAGGACATTTAGTTTTTCTTAGGACTAGCAATTTGATGCTGAGACTTGTGGGCTTAATACTCTCTTGGCTTGCAAGTTTTTGTTCTGAATTGGATTTACTCTGTTTCATTCTGCAGCTGTTGACATGGCAATTTGACTGGAAGTATATGGTCAGAGGACTAGTTCTTGATAAGAAAAGAGGAAATATCTTGAAGGTCCGCTGTATTTGCTTGAACTCACTTCACTTTGTTGACTGAAAATGAACTTGTGACACATAGAAACAACATTACTCTGTCTAATAAAAAATGTACATCGTTTTGGATATTGACATGATCTACAAGGCGAAACTTTGACCATCAGTTTCTATGAAAGTACATTGCTTCAAATAAAAATGATTATTCACTAAAAACATATTCCATATCAGATTTAGTAATATAAATTTCATGTAACCAATGTTGGTAAAAAAACAGTGCTGGTTAAACTTAAGAATGTTTGACTGATCTCTTAAAAACCTTTTGCAAGCAGTGGGTGTAGGATCTAAATTAAAGAATAATGAGAACAAGATGCAGGAAACCCATGGGAGGACAGGGAGCAATTTTTTGTATTTAGCAACAAAGGGGTCATATTATTTACAAAATCAAAGTTCCATGTCTACATTGATGCCTGAAACCTTTTGTTTGTGCTTGCATGATACTAGTGCCGACCTAATTTCTACCTTATTGTTTTTACTTTATATCTAGTTTTCACTTTAAGATTGCATGTTGTAGTTCCCTATTCATACTTCTTGACCGTTGAAAACACCAATTGTTCACTGAACACTTCCCATCATGTTGAAAATATTCAATCCTCTCTTGATGCAAAAGTTCTGTATGATAGGAGGCAACTGTTGAAGTGTATATGTCGATTTCCTAGCCCTTTCCATCAGTTTGGACCTTTGGTTGCATTGGCTAGTGCATGAAGCTTAACAGCAACAACACAAAATAGACCTAGCATAAATTAAATTGCCACTGCTTATTTACTGTACTTGCTACTGTTGGTTAATTTTACGTTTATACTTTCTGAATCAGTGATCAGTTTAACTGCCATTTTAACTATGATGTGCAATATCAGATGGACCGGCACAAGTATGTAAAAGTTGCATACCATGGATTTAGGGAGATGTCAAAGGAAGAGAAAGTTGCTGCTTATGGGAGTACATTGATAAGGGATTCCTTCGATGAACCTGATTATGCCCTTATAGATACACTTTTCTCACTGGGTGAAGCCTATCTGTTTGCTCAGCTTGTTGATTTCATGGACAACAATCCTGCAAAAGTACCTTCAGGCACTGAGTATGGTCATTAGATCCATATATAGTTATGATTCTTTCACAAATGATTTGAAAATGATTACAACGTACCAAATGTGTATGGATATTGGCAAGCATAGGTGAAAATTATGCTTTCACGTATGTTTGTCTATTCATTTTCGTCTGTTCCTCTGCCTATATACGTAAAATATTGGACAGACATTTTATTCCATGTATTCTGATCTGCGTCTTCCATTTTACTTGTATTGATATGCTAATGTACTTGCTACCTTGGATTATTTTGTTGTTACAGCTATGCGCATATGTATAGAGATGTGAGGTCTGCGGTTGATCTGTGTCATCGTGATGGAACTTTAAAACGAATGGTTGCAAAGGAACCTAGCAGGTAGTTCTGTATAATCTTAAACAACCATGTAGTGGTTATTCTAGATCATAGTGCTAGGCACAACAAAGAGTGGACATCATTTTGCTTTCTTTTTTGCAATAATTTGGTATGGTTCTCTTTTTGTTTGTTCACGTGCCTATAGACCTGCGTATATTTCCCCCATTGTTTATGATGTAAGAATTTATACAATTAGGTTTTAACTGGCACAGCTGATTTGTGTGTTCAAACTTGCCAGGTATATTAATGAAGACTTGGCAATTGTGCCGATGCTTCAAATGCTTAGAAAATCTGGACGCTCCACATTCTTGGTGACAAACAGGTATGCTCTTATATCATTTCAGGTTTGATAGATGTCCACCCAAACTGAGGCAGTTTATTTGATGGACAAAAGAAATAATTTGATCATTTTTGTCTGGCCGCATTTCATCTGTCTCTTACTATCTGGAGATGAGCTTGTTTATGCAGTTTATGGGACTACACTGATGTTGTCATGAACTACCTATGTGGGCCATATATGTCAGATGTAAGCTCAAGTCACAACCACAAGTGGCTTGAGTATTTTGATGTTGTTATAACAGGCAGGTTGGTATATCTTGTTTATTTTATTTTATTTTTGTAAATTTATGCTTAGTTATCTGCCTTCTCAACTAAGCCCATCCTTTCTGAACTTTTCAGTTCAAAGCCAAGCTTTTTTCATGATGATAATCGAACAGGATTGTTTGAAGTTGAGCCTGATTCTGGGAAACTTCTAAATGCTGATCTTCAGGAAAGTAAAGTGGTTTTAATGTCTTACCCGTTTCTATGAACCATGTTTTATAATATATGTGTTCTTTATGTAGATTGGAAGCCCAAGATCAAGTCAACATCAGCCAAAACCAATTCACAAAGTGTACCAGGTACTTGTTTTCCTGATTCTGGATGTGTGTAAAACTCTAAAAGTAGAATACTAAAATCTCTCTTATTACTTTCTAATAGTGCAAATGTCTACCTGGTCAATTAGCATTTTGTGAATGTACTTGTAATGGCTACGCTATGTATCTTGCTCTAATAAGCGAAGAAATTATTTTCCAGGGAGGCAATGTTGGTCATCTTCACAGACTACTTTCTGTTGCTTCTAGTTCGCAGGTAACTTCCTGTACTTATTATACAATCTGTTGTGGGTTTGGTACATGTTAGCTGTATTTCTCTGTTTGTGGCTGATTGCAATGAATTTCCTGTTTACTTGGAATTCCAATAATCAAATCAAATAATGCAATATCTTACCATATAGATCCTCTATGTTGGTGATCACATATATGGGGACATACTCCGCAGCAAGAAAGTTCTAGGTATGTGTTATTCAATCTATAATGTTAGTACACTTGCAATCGCCACCTGCTGTTAAATTGATTCAATTTGGTACTTTTGATTGTGCGGAAGCTTTAATGATGTTCTTGTATTTTATAGATAAAAATACACATGGCAATTAGCGTGCATGCTTGATCAATTCAAGTAACTACACAGGACCATCCAATGAGTCCTAAGTGCCTTATTATTTTTCTCTGCACTCATCATCGATGCTGCTGATGGTGTCAAATTCAGTTTGAATAGCAATGCTTAGTTAAAAAGTCGGCCTGTGTTACGGATGTCCTCTGAGTTGTGGTTGGTGGTCGATTCCGCATTTCACTTTCCATTTCTCCAGTGATTATGTGCTGTGTTTATTTAAAAGGTTGGCGGACTATGCTGGTAATACCTGAGCTGGAGCAAGAGGTGAAGCTTCAATCAGAATCAAAGTCTACTCGAAAGGTATAGATATATTACTCAGTAATCCTGAAAATGACTTTTAGCAACATATAATAACTGGGCACAAGCTTTAACAGACCTAACTTTGCATGATTTGCAAATAGCATTCTGTAAGATTTTCATTGTGGTTCCATGAGAGCTTAGTGTTGCACCAGAACTGTTGCCTTTAGAACTGCAGCAAAACTTGGTGGCACAACAGCTTTCTAATGGTGGTAAATTTAACTAAACTTTGATGACCACAAGTTGCATGTGACTGTTCAGATTTGCATGTTAAATTGGTTATAATCTTGACCAGGAAAGGGCCTTCTGTGTTTGTCTCTCAGATTTCAATACAGTCTAATAAGGTTTGTGTCAAAACAAGGAGTTTGTGAGGATTATTAGAACTGAAACCTTTGTTATTTGCGGCCAGCACTATTGGCCCTGCATGTTAAATTGATTATAGTCTTGACCCGGAAAAGGTCTTATGAGATTTTGTCTGAGATTTGAATAGTCTAATAAAGTTCGTGTCAGAACAAGGAGTTTGTTTGTATTAGTTGAAGTGAAACTTCACTCATGATTACACCCTAGGGATGAATTTTACTCCCTCCGTTCCAAAATAGATGACCCAACTTTGTACTAAAACTAGTATAAAGTTGGGTCATCTATTTTGGAACGGAGGGAGTAGTTGGTATATCTGGCCTGAAAGCTTTGCAAACTCAGAAGTTTCCCCTCACATAGGCACAATGTTCTGAGGGTGCTTGCACATCACAAGTACTATGAGAAGAAATTGAGCGGCAAATCAGATTGTTTCTGTATTCATGTTAGGAAAGCATAGCAAAAGGGCGATGAACTTCTTTCTAAAAATATATATATTCTCCATTGGTTAATACATCATTACGGGAAAATGTAGGCAAGGTGCACATGCAAAATAAATATCTCATTTGCCAAAACATTCGAGTTTATTGTCCCTTTATCTGTTTTTTCTCTGTTGAGCTTCCATGTTGTCAATCTGTGTGTTGGCAATCTTCTTAATAGCTCTTTTTATGCTTGTCACCCTACTCAGGAGCTTAGACACCTTAGAATGGAGCGCGATTCAGTTGAAGACACGATCCATCGCCTTGAATGGTCTCTTCAGTAAGTTGATCACTTTTGGTACTTTTCTGCCTTTTGAGTCACTCACATTTAATATGTTCTTGATTCATCGTTTAAGGGTTTACTTGAATACTTCTATAGATGAACCAAAATTTATAGGAATGATTTTGTGAATCATTACAATTTTTATGCATATGGATCAAATCATCAATGGAAGTAACTCATTACGTGCATACACCAAATACCAAATAGGGAAACTCGTTTAAGGCTTGGACTTTTGAGACTACATTTAATGATCGTGAAACAGTGTTCAGTAGGGTCATAATTCTTTATTGAATGCAAAGAGAGTACTTTGGAACCTTCCTTTTAAAGACGTGCTTGATGTAACCTGCATGTCCATGGAATGAAGGTCAGAACATGGATGGTAATGATGTTTCAGATGCGAAGTTCATGGTTGTGCAAGTTGCAGGACATGTATGCTGGTGCATACTGCTGCTGAATGTGAACTACTTTGTTTCATAGTTGGCCGTCTTGAGATGAAACACAGTGTCGTTGCAAGCATGCAACAGCTTCGCCGCTGATTTGTTCATCTGTTCTCTGGTGAGTATCGGTCGCTTGTTGCGGCAGTGCTTCTGCTGTTGCGTATGCTCTCTAGTTTGGGTCTTGCAAAGAGAAGTGGCCTCAAGTGAACGGAGATGCTAGGGCTGTTAGCATCAATGGATCTAATGTTGCACAAAAATATCAAATACACAATACAACATGACACACACACCTTTATGAAAGATAAGATCAAGCAAGAATTTTTTCACTCAACTTGTGTTCTTATCTAAATCGGTTGTATGTAGCTGTTATAGGGGTTTAGAATGCCCATCAATTTACATATGTGAACAAATACTTGGCAAATAGTACGAAGCATTGAGAATTTATGCACATTAACTCTGTGCACACTCTTAAGAAATTCTCCGATACTTCCACACTAATTTTCCTTAGGGTATTGAATTGACCATTCAAATGCTCCTAGAATAATTCAAATTGGCCCTCGTATGAATGGTCAAGTTGTACCCTTGAAGCTTTAGTGTGAAAGCATTGGACATTTTCTTAGAGCGTGCTTGAAGTTAATTGGTGTGTAACTTCATAATGACCACATATTTCTTAATTGAAGTTATTTGCTTGTTTTTTGTCCACATATTTAAATCATTCGCATCTAGAACCCTCATGAAAGATACATATGACTGATGAATAAACCAAGCCAAGTTGAGTTGAAACAATGTTTGCTTTTTGGTCGTCTTTCTCAAGTGTGTGCGTCTATTTGTGTATGCGTGTTTGAAATGTTTGTCCATCGCTAGATCCTTTGGGGCCAACAGCCATGGCATCTTTGTTCATTTTTTATCACTTCTCTCTGTAGGAGACATACCTGAGAGCAAACACAGAAGCAGAATCACTGCCACAACAAATGACCACTTCTCACCAGCGCTGAGATTAAAGAAATCAGCGGTGAGGCTGCTGTGTGCTTGGAGCGGCACCGTGGTTGATCTCAAGACAAGCAATTCTAAGACAAAGTAGGCCACATTCAGTAGCAGCAACCACCTTCATGTTCTTCTCTTCTTCGACAGCCTACTCCTCTAGCAGAGCCCCTCCCCATTTGAGTCGTGCCCCACTGCCCCTCCCCATTTGAGTCGTGCTCCACTGCCCCTCCCCATTTGAGTCGTCACTGTGCTAAACCCCACTCTTATTAGTGTGAAAGAGCAAGTGGTGCAGCACATTCCAAGTTGAGTTGCATTTGCAGCGCGAGAGATTTATCATTCACGCTCTTGCACAGTTGATTTACCTCGGCCCTTCCTCTGAATCTTAATCTTTTCCAAGAGTATTTGTATTCCGCATCGCCTTTCAAAAGGCTGAATGGTAAAATCCTTGCTTAGGAAATTCAATTTAAGTTGAATGTGACCAACCAATTTTTGTTTCAAACAGATGGGTTTTTTTATGCTTCATTTTGTTGCTGCAGCATGGGTCATTTTCCAATTCAATGTCCGTGCTGTCTCCATTTGGCCAATGGGTTGTCCAGATCCTGCCTCTGTAGCTTTTTTACCACCGCAATATTGATCTCTGCTTCCTCAACCAATGATCACGTACATTCTTGGCTGCGCGGTGGCATTTGGAATGCTCAATGATTATGTCAGATGCTAATGCCATCACACACACTTAAGGATGAAAAACGACGCGCTTCAAGGATCTGTCAAATGCTTTGTGAAAAACTCTGCTTGCTATTACCTAAGTTTGTTGAACTTTGTTTTGCTAACTTATCAAACAGAGAAGGGATTGGGAACGGGGGTTGTGATTAGACTATTAGAGCCGACGAAACTCAGCAAGAAAGCCAGAGGGAGGGAGCATTTAGGTCGAAGGTAAAAAAGGAAAGAAGGTTGCAAGCTGCCGGCATCGCTTGCAGGAGTGTTGCTCTAGGTCGGCAGCATTTGGGCTAGTAAGCAAGGAGGAATGGGTGGCCTGTCATGGCGGATTTTGCGCTGACCTTCCTGTCTCCAAGCGGCAGTAGAATGCCGACGTTGATGGTGTCTGAAATGACTTATGCAAGCTTGTTCCAAAATGTGTGACCTTTAACTGGTCATCACCCTGGAGGGCTTGTTCCAAAATGCAATTTACTCTTTAATCATTATTTTTTGAAGAAGACAACATGGCACAAGAGTAATTCAGAAGGCGCACATATATTTGTGCCTTTGCATGCAAGGTATGCAAAAATCACAACAATGACATTAATGAGGTGATGGGCTTAATATGTCAAGATCAAACTTTCTAATCATTGTGCACACTTTAATGTGAAGTTAAGTGTTAAGCGTTCACTTGCCTAGCGCAAAAAAAAAAATTATGGTCAAAGTGTGTATAGTGCATAAAACAGTTCTGCTTGGTTATTTTTATTTTATGTCTAAATCATTATGTCCAACCTCTTTGTGTTTTCTAGATTTGAAGATCTTACAGAGAATGAGAAGGGGAAGTTGTTATCTGAGCATGATAATCTACTGGTAAGTTCTTGTTATGTTTTAGTCTTGTTGGTTGGTCGGTATTTGGAAGAAATTAGTACTCCCTCCGATCCATATTAATTGACGCTGGTTTAGTAATATGGATCGGAGGGAGTAGTTGTTTCACATGAATCTAACTCATCTACCGTGCCATTTGAACTGAAAAAAGCGTAGGATTGGTGAACAATATGGTAGCCCTCCATGACTCATGCTGTATCCACTTCTAGCTGGCTTGCTTTTTAACTCGTGGTAGTTTTTTCTCTGATTGCAGCAAAAGCTGAAGGGTATCCGCTGCCTTCTCCGAGATGCTCAGATGCAACATCATCAGAAGGTAAGTTGTCAAGTTACATAACTTTGTGATCACATTCATCATTGTGTATCATAGTTCACAAAATTTAGGTGATATGCTTAATCGTAGAAAATATCCTCTGCAAAAAAATCATAACTGTGTTAATATTTTGTGTCTGTCCAGTTTCACAAGGTGTGGGGACAGCTTATGAAGACTGGGTACCAAAATTCTCGGTTTGCTCACCAGGTGATGTACCTGTAAAAAAACACGACAGTAATTTTTAGCAGTCGACTGATATATTCTACTTTTGCTTGTGTCAACATTCCACAGGTCGAGAGATTTGCGTGCCTATACTGCAGCCAAGTTACAGACTTTGGGTTGTATTCTCCCAACAAGTATTACCGTCCGAGCGAAGATTACATGCCCCATGAGTTCGATGTGCTTGGCCTGTAGAACTAGTTTGTGTTGATGCGGAATCGAAGTTCTCCTTTGAGGTGTAGGTTGCAACAAGATATGGGCACAATTTTAGCATGATACCGAATAACAAATGTTTACCACCTCACACAATGGATGAGGTCTACCTGGTGAAACTTCACCCATTTTACATGTTTATATACTATAGTTGCTGATAGGAAATTTTACAGGTTTCCCGCTTTGTACATAACATGTTCTAACAGGGGGCGAATGAAACCAATGTTGAATGTTGATCATTCCAACTTTCAAAGTGAATAATTTAATTTGGTTACTCCCGCTTGCCTATGATCATCTGAATTTATAATCCCAATGCGGTCATTTGGTTCAATGTTTGAAAGGCCGAGCCATTTGTTTCTCACGAAGCTGTGTGTACTGGTTCGTTCAAATAGCTGGAAATGCTTGACACCACTGCAGCAACATTGGTGAATGTGTGACCTGACCTTACAGAAGCCCAACCCTAACAGCTCTTTGTGAAAACAATTTAATTCTTGGCTATTTTGAGGGTGAACGACAACCTGGAAATGTTAATGCTCCATTGGTAAGCAGAGATATAGGAGGCTAGCCTGGCTAGTTAGAAACTTCTATGTAAGTTGACCTGAATTGTAATTGATCATAATACTTTAATAGTTGATACAAACGAAGTTAAGCACAAATCCTTTAGATTTGAACATAGCTGGCTTTTAAGAGAAGATTTTTTTAAAATAGGTGGAAAGAATCTGAAATGAACTTATCTTGTTTAGATGTGATGCAGAAGAAATTGAAGAAAGCAAGTATTTGGAAGGACGGGAGAGAAATCTAAGAGGCCAAATACTAAAGGACATGGTAGATCTAACAGATGAGCTAATATGGCTAGGAGTCGTCGTATTCAAAGCTCTCTATGTGAATCTTTGGAAGAAGAGCAATACTGGCATAGGAGATTAAGTGAAGACGGGATGCTTAAGGGGGACAACAACACTAGCTGCTTTCACGTGATTGCTAAAAAAGGAAACATTGCATTTTTTCCCTGAATATACATCAACTGCTCATTTGCTAATCATGCTACTGAGTTTTACAAAAACTTGTTTGGTCCTGCTGAAGGTTATGTTTGGGTTGTCCATGCAAAAATATTTGAGGAGAACACCAGGGAACTTAGTAGATTCTTTAGTGAAGACGAAATTAAGAGTGTGATGAAAACAAATAGGGCTGGAGGTGTGGTTGGATTTTCCATTGAATTTTTTCAAACTTGTTGTCCTTTTATTAAAGGTGAAGACGATGTCATGATGTGCTTAGTAGAATTAATTTTGGTACCATTACACTTGTTCAAAAAGGGGCTAACAGTGACACAATACATAAATTCAGACCTATTTGTCTTCTCCATGCTCTTTAAGCCTTCTCCAAAAAGTCATGGATGAAAGGGTGGCACCTATGAAAAATTTGGAACCTTACATGCTTATTGAAATGGTTTAGCAACATATTGAATTGAAAATGTATCCACTAATACTAACCTGTCAAGATTTTTACATATAATTTTCTCTTGTGAATATTTTTTGTGCTTAACTACTACTCCCTCCATTTTATTTACTCCACATATTAGTTTTGGTCAAAGTCAAGCTTTATAAACTTTGACAAAGTTTATAGACAAAAATATTAACATGTACAATAACATATCAATACCATTAGATTCATTATTGAACGTACTTTCGCATCATATAGATTTGTTATCGTAAATATTTATATTCTTTCCTATAAACTTGGTTAAACTTTTTGAAGTTTGACTTCAGTCAACTCTAATATGCAAAGTAAATAAAAGCGGAGGGAGTATTACCTAACATTATGTGGAACAATTTTACATGTAGAAGTCCTTTTTTAGTTAAAAATGGGAAAGACCATATTATTACCTTTGGATCATGAGGCTGCTTGGTTTGATGCCAAAACTTGACAACTAACTACTTTGCCAACTAACCTTGAAGATTTTTGACAAGCTTAGAAAGAAACCAACTAGCCTTCTAGCCTTAACTACCTAGTGCCTTCACAATGAACACATGCACAACTAATAGTCTTAATTACTATATTAGTGGTTGGAATAACAAATCAATTATCTAACACATCACTAACCTGACCTGCACAACCCAAAAGCGTATGTCATCTTCTTCAAAAGCTACATATTGCTCACAAGGGGCTCGGCGATGGCAATAGACAGGTAAATCCATCGCTCGGCCGCAATAATCCTGAGTCATAAATGCTTTTGAGGACCTAACGGATGACATATGAATGAAAAAAAAAAGATTGAACGTAGCTGAAATAGAAAATATCCCCAGATGAACCCTACCTAACCCTAGCAATTGAAACAGAGCAACTCACATCGCTACACAAAGAATCACTGTCAAATCCTTCGAAAGAGTCAGCCCTATCTCCCAATGAGACCAATGCGGTGGCGCCACCGATGGTGGTCAATTCAGGGCGACGGCGATGGCGGGAGAGAGTGGGGAGAAGCGACTATATAAATGGAAAATGTAAGAGAAAAGAGGATGCCCTGTTAACCACACATGCAAACGCCCTATCGATTGTTGCCCGGCGCCGGCTGTTTTAGCCAAGGTAGGCCCAACTAGTCAAAATTGCTATTAAACCGAGCAAAACGCCGAACCAGTGCAACGTGTTACATACGAGCTCCAAAAGTGATGGTTTTGCATTGTTTTAATCATGGATCGTAGTACGTGTTAACCTAGCTTCAAATGTGGTGGTTTTGCGTATTTTGCTTCACCTGCGACGCTTGTAGGCCGTTACAAGCCAGAAATTGCTTTTAGAGGCCGAGTTCCATGGAGGCCTCCAAATGCAAAATACAAAATTCTTGAAAATTCATATTTTTACATTTCAAAAAATTCTGAAAAAACACAAGGATAGTTGAAGGCATAGTGTACAAGTGTGTAAATTTTGAGGACGAAATACGTTGAAACGAGGGATGTGCAAAAAAGACAAATCTGGGGCTTTTTAACACAATCCTACCAGACCATAAGTCTATCCTACCAGACCATAAGTCTTTTTTCTTACAGGTCGCATTTCAACGTATTCCATCCTGGAATTTTACATGCATACGCCTCACATCATTGTTTACTTGTACAAAAAAATTCAGATTTTTTTGAAACCAAATTTTTTGAATTTTGAATTTTTCAAAAAAGATAAGGCCTTCATAGAGGCCGAGAGTCAAAACCCCATTCTCGTTACAAGCTGGCTTCAATGAAATGAAGTTGTTATCGCATAAGTACAAAGTATGACCGGGACGCCCTAGTGAAGTCAGCGTCAATGCATACTCCCTCCGTTTCAAATTATTTGTCGCTGAAATGGATCTATCTAGAACTAAAATACATCTAGATACATCTATATGTGCGACAAGTAATTCGAAACGGAGGGAGTACATTTTTCCTACACAACCACTACCCACCCTTGGTTTTCTATGAGCAACGGTCCCAAAAAAATATAATATATATATATATAAATTTGAGGGGTGGACGTTGTGCTCCTGTGTTCTCAGCTGCATAAATGCAGGGCAATTTCCATGGGCTGTCCACACTACTAGGTAGCTGCAGAGCAGAGCAAAGCAGAGCCCTGTTCCAATAACAGATCTGTGGAGCATCCATCACATTCACGGCAAAAGATGTGTTCGCCGGTGAAGGTGTTCGGGCACGTCGACGAACGTGGCGCGGGTGCTGCTCTGCCTGGAGGAGGTGGGCGCCGAGTACGAGCTGGTGCCCGTCGACTTCCTCGCCGGCGAGCACAACACCCCCGAGCACGCCCAGCGAGACGTACGTGGCCAGCTTCTCTCTCGGCCGGTCATCTCTTTATTTCATGCAGTACTTCTCATTGCCGCCGATGATGATCGTGGTCGGGTTCCTTGCAGCCATTCGGGAAGATCCCCGCGTTCCAAGACGGCGACCTCGTCCTGTTCGGTGAGTCTCTTCCTTAGCCCATCCACATCATCATTCCATGAATTCCATCATCCTGTCTCACCTGCTCGATCGATTGTGTGCCACCAGAGTCCCGCGCGATCGCGAGGTACATCCTCCGCAAGTACAGGGCGCCGGGCTCGCCGGACCTGCTGGGAGAGAACGGCGGCGCCGAGGAGGCGGCGATGGTGGACATGTGGATGGAGGTGGAGGCCCAGCAGTACCACCCGGCCATCTCGCCGGTGGTGTTCGAGTGCATCATCTTCCCCGTCATGCGCGGCGCCAAGACGGACCAGAAGGTCGTCGACGAGAGCCTGAAGAGGCTGCGGGGTGTGCTGGGGACGTACGAGGAGCGCCTGTCCAGGAGCAGGTACCTGGCCGGGGACTCCTTCAGCTTCGCGGACCTCAACCACTTCCCCTTCACCTTCTACTTCATGGCCACCCCGTACGCGGCCCTCTTCGACGAGTACCCCAGGGTGAAGGCCTGGTGGGAGGACCTCATGGCCAGCCCCTCGGTCGAGAGGGTCTGCGCCAATATGCCTACCAAGTTCTAGTTCCATCACCTTGTCTCATTGTGTGTGTGTCGGACTGAATTTGCTGTGGAATAAACGAACGAATGAAAGTTATGTACTCCCCGGTAAAGAAATATAAGAGCGTTGATCTAAACGCTCTTACATTTCTTTACCGAGGGAGTAGTATTGATCATGCCGAATAGGTTCTGTTTTGGTGGGCAAGTTCTAGTTCCACGGAGTTGTGGAGCATGTTGTCATGATTGTTGTTCTATGTCTTAATATGCTAGGAAATGTCGATTTGGTGAAAGGTTAGGGAGATGATGCTTCTTCCATGCCAGAGCATACGAGTTTCTAGAGTATGAGGGTGTCTTTAAAGCGGATCCTTGAAACGACCGCAAACGTCCGCGCCAACGTGTCTGGATGCTGCAAGACAACCAACGCCGTCTGCGTCAGTTTCTCCACAAAACAAAGGCAAATCAGGGGGCTTTGCGAGAGTATAGACCTCCGTCCATATAGAACCGATGTTCAAAAATCGGCTGACTCAGCGATTTATCGGCCAATTAATTGCTACTCGGGGGTGACCGCTAAGATTAGGCCATATCTTCACCATTAATCTGTTGGGACAATTTATCATGAATATTTCAATTAATGGGGCTAGCCCCTATGTACAGAAACCTCAAAATGGGCCTCCCTTTCCCCGCACAACACATAATGTTGTCGCTCGATAGGGTTTGGGGTCCTGTCCACACCGCCGCCATGTTCTTGAGCCACATCGTCGTCGCCATGTTCCCGATTCACACGGCCGCCGCTACCCTTCTTGCCTCCGGCGGACGGACCTAGCACCACCGGAGTTGCCTTCTCCTCTTCTTCCCAAATAGCCCAGCCACCTGCGCCCTCGCCATCTCTCCATCTCTTAGCAGCGGGATGAGCAGAAACACCTAAAATGGTGTTTGGTTGCAGGCATGTTCTACGTAGATACAAAGTGTTGTTGTTTGGTAACATACAAGACATGTGGTCTCGTAACCTCTTGTTCGAGTGGTGAGTTGTCAACACACACATAGTCTTGTATGGAGAATATTACCATAGGTGCATCATAGTCATACGTGGTTAAACCATAGTCATACATGACAGTCTTAAATGCAATAGATTAACAATTGAACGCAAAAGTAAACTAACACGCAACATCAAAGAGAACGCCCTTTCGGTCCAGTGCAAACGCCTCCTCGTGCGGCTTGCACTTGGCCATCACCTCTATGTCATTGTTGTCGAAGACGATCACCTTGAAGATGCTGCCCGTCACCACCTTGAAGGTCACGAGGTGCCCGATCTTCAGGTGATGATCTATGACGAAGAGGGGCACCCTTTATCAAGGGCGAGCCCTTCGTTGATGGATCGGAATGTGATTTTCCAGGCGCAGTCGATGTTCATCATCAGCACGACCTCTGGTTGGACGGTGGTCATGTGCTCTATGAAGCCAGTGGGCATTGGCAGGCACTCCTGAAAGGATCGAGAAGAGGGGTCTAGAGGGGGGGGGTAGACCCTTAACAAGTAAAAATCACAGTTTTTAGTTTCTTCAAGTTAAGGTTGAGTCTAGCACATGTTAAAGGGCACACAATACATCTCCAGCAAGCATGACAAGAGTATAGGAAGTGGAAAGAGTAAAGCATGCAATTTGCAAGAATGTAAAGGGATGAGATTAGAGTGTGCAAACGCAATGGAGAGACGGAGAATTTTTGGCATGGTTTGGTAGGTGGTGCTATCGTACATCCACGTTGATGGAGACTTCAACCCACGAAGGGTAATGGTACGTCCATTTTGCATCATGTTTGAGATGAGATAGTGTTCTTATGCATTTAACACTTTTTGGAGTAATTCTAATGACTTCTCTCTCATAATATGCAAGGTTTACACAGAGAGGGAGAATATTGACAACTGGAATTCCGGACCTGAAAAAGCTATGTCAAAGATACATATTCTGCACATCTCCAAATGAGCTGAAATTTCACGGAGAATTATTTTGGAATATATAATAAATATTGGAGAGAAGAAATAGCAGAGGGGGCCACCCAGGTGCCCACTAGGCACCAGGGTGCGCCACCCCCTCCAGGCGCACCCTGGTGGGTAGTGGGCCCACCTCTGGTGCCCATCTTCTGGTACATAAGGTCTTTTAACCTAGAAAAAACCAGGAGAGGACTTTTGGGACGGAATACAGCCGTATCGAGGCGGAACTAGGGCAGGAGCACTTTTACCCTCCGGTGGAGCGATTCCGTCGGGGGAAATTCCCTCCTGGAGGGGGGAATCAAAGCCATCATATCACCAACAACCCTCTCATCTTTGGGAGGCCAATCTTCATCAACATCTTAAACAACACCATCTCATCTCAAACCCTAGGTCATCTCTTTGTGTTCAAACTTTGTATCAAAACCTCAGATTGGTACTTGTGGGTGACTAGTAGTGTTGATTACATCTTGTAGTTGATGTTAGATGGTTTATTTGGTGGAAGATTATTTGTTTAGATCCATTATGCTATTTAATATCCCTCTGATCTTGAGCATGAATATTATTTGTGAGTAGTTGTCCTTGTTCTTGAGGCCGTGGGAGAAGTCATGTGCTACTTCTTGAGCTTGTGTTGGTTTTTCCCTTGAAGAGGAAAGGGTGATGCAGCAAAGTAGCAAGAAGTATTTCCCTCAGTTAAGAACCAAGGTATCAATTAAGTAGGAGATACAAGCAAGTCTCCAATCTATTCACCTGCACAAACAGTCAAACACTTGCACCCAACGCGATAAAGGGGTTGTCAATCCCTTCACGGTTACTTGCAAAGCTGAGATTTGATAGAGATAGATATAAAAGATTACTAAAACATAAAACAAAATGAAAGTAAATAAATTGCAGCAAGGTATTTTTGGGTTTTTTGGTTTATAGATCTGAAAATATATGATGGAAAATAGACCCGGAGGGCCATAGGTTTCACTAGAGGCTTCTCTCTTGAAGGAAAATAATACGGTTGGTGAACAAATTACTGTCGAGCAATTGATAAAAAGGTGCAAAGTGATGAAGATATCCAAGGCAATGATTATGAATATAGGCATCACGTCCGTGTCAAGGAGACCGACTCCTGCCTGCATCTACTACTATTACCCCACACATCGACCGCTATCCAGCATGCACCTAGAGTATTAAGTTCATAAAGAACGGAGTAACGCCTTAAGTACACTAGTAGAAAACAGGGCTTTCGTTCGGGCCACATAAGCCCATTAGTCCCAGTTCAGTCACAAACCGGGACCCATGGGGGCATTGGTCCCGGTTCGTGAGGCCAGGGGGCCTGCCGGGCCTCGTGGGGGCATTGGTCCAAGTTCATCTGGCCCCTATGGTCCCGGTTGGTGGGACAAACCGAGATCAATGGGCCTCGCTCCTGGCCCACCACCATTGGTCCCTGTTGGTGGATTCAACCGGGACCAAAGGGTGGTCTTTAGTACCGGTTCAAGCCATTAACCGGGACCAATGATGTGCCTATATATACCCCCTCGCCGACGAGCAGAGCACACTGCTCTGTTTTTTCTGGCCAATGAGGGGAGGGCTTTGTGGTGCTCTAGCTCACCTCCTATGCACACGAGGTGTTCGATGGAATGCCCGAGCCACACTACTTAAGATTTCTCCTCTCCAATCTTGACCTCCAAGCTCCATTTTCCTCAATATTTGTCTAGGTTTGGTGGTCCGTCCCGTCCCGTCCCCATCTTCACCGCCGTCGATCGCCCGCGCCGATCTCGTCGCCGGCACCACCGTGGTGAGCCTCTTGTTCTTATCTTCTTTCTGAAAGGAAAAAAATTCTTACTTGTATGTTTAGATAGATACTTGTATAATTTTATTACTTTTATTATTGCTTCTTATTATTTAGTGTGATGGTTTTGGTATCTGCCCCCGTCGGCCCTCGTCCTGTCTATGATTCAGATGTGGTATATATTATCGTTATAACTATTTGGTTCATTTATTGTTTATGACAATTATGCCGACCAATATGACATAGATTTTATTTATCTAAGAGGTATGTGAACCGGAAATTCCAACCGACCCTATTGTCGAGAGGTTAAATTTAGTTGAAGAAGAAAACAATTTTTGAAGGAAAAAATAAAAATAATTGAGGAGGAGAAGATGATATTGGAGTTGCATGTTGCGGATGTCGTCGTTGATCACAAGATCAAGAGGGATGCAATGCGCTTGAAGATTAGAAAGATTAGAAAATATGCCATTCATACCGAGGCTTGGTATCATTATGCCGTTGGATCAATTGTTACCTTGGTTGCGATTATGATCACATTTGTTTTCGCATTGAAATGTTTTACATAGTTTCAATGTATGGTTTAATTAATTAGATGCTCTGGAGAGAGATATGTTGTTCAATGAGAACTATGTATGTACTTTGGTTTTAATGTGATGATGAACTTCTATTAATTTGGTCGCTTAATTATCTATTCATGAGGTTCTGTAATGGTTTTTGACACACTTAATTATATATAATGCACGCAGATAAACCGGCAATGGATGTACAGTGACAGACACACCTCCGAGTACATTAAGGGCGTGCATAATTTTCTTGAAGTGGCTGAGGCAAACAAGCACAATGGTTTTATGTGTTGTCCATGCCCTATATGTGGGAATACGAAGTCTTACTCTGACTCGAAAACCATTCACACCCACCTGCTTTATAAGGGTTTCATGCCACACTATAATGTTTGGACCAAGCACGGAGAAATAGGGGTTATGATGTAAGATAGCAAAGAAGAAGAGGACGATGACAACTATGTGCCCCCTGAATACGGTGATGCTACAACGGGGCAAGTTGTTGAATATCAAGAGTAACCAGACGATGCGCCCGATGATGATCTCCACAGGGTCATTGTTGATGCAAGGAGACAGTGCAAAAGTCAAAAGGAGAAGCTCAAGTTCGATCGCATGTTAGAGGATCACAAAAAAGTTTGTACCCCAATTACGAAGATGGCAACGCAAAGCTCGGTACCGTACTGGAATTGTTGCAGTGGAAGGCA